TATGACTCTTACTTTTGGCTTTATTGATATGGTGGATTACATTTATTGATTGACATATGTTGAACCATGCCTGCATGCCTGGGATGAATCCTATTTGGTGGTGGTGTATAATCTTCTTGATGATTTGCTGCATCCTATTTGCCAATATTTTGTTGAGGATTTTTGCATCTGTGTTCATTAGGGAGATCAGTCTATAATTCTCTTTTTTAGTCGTGTCTTTCTCAGGTTTTGGTACTAGAGTAATATTTGCTTCCAGGAATGACTTAGGAAGGATTGCTTCCCTTTCAATTTCATTGAATAGTTTGAGGAGTGTCAGCATTAGCTCTTGTTTGTATTTCTTGTAGAATTCTGCAGTGAATCCATCTGGGCCTGGGCTCTTCTTTGTAGGTAAGGACTTAATTACATTTTCAATTTCATTAACAGAGATTGGGTTATTCAACAATTTTACATCCTCTTGATCTAGCTTTGGTATTTCATATGTTTCTAAGAATCTGTCTACTTCTGTGTTATCAATCCTTTGAGAGTAGAGGTTTTTGAAATAGGTGTTGATGATCTTCTGTATTTCTATTGGGTCTGTAGTGATTTCACCTTTTTCATTTCTTATTGCATGAATTTGAGCTTTTTCTTTCCTTTTTTACATAAGGTTGGCTAGGGGCTTATCGATTTTATTTATTCTTTCAAAGAACCAACTCTTTGATTCATTGATTCTTTGGATTGTTTTCTTAGTCTCTATTGCATTGATTTCTGCTCTGATTTTTATAATTTCCTCCCTTCTTTTGGCTTTGAGTTTGACTTGCTCTTTTTCTAGCTGTTTGTGGTGTAGCATCAAGTTATTTATTTGTATTTGTTCTTTTTTCCTGATGTGGGAACTCAGTGCAACAAATTTTCTTCTGAGGACAGCTTTCATTGCATCCCATAAATTCTGGTAAGTTGCATCTACGTTTTGATTTTCTTTTAGGTATTGTTTATTCTCTTCTGTGCCCCACTGATTACTCAAGAATGTGTTATTCAGTTTCCATGTGTTTGTGGGATTTTTGCAGTATCTTTTATCATTAATTTCTAATTTCAGAGCGCTGTGATCTGATAACATGCAAGGGATGATTTCAACTCTTTTGCATTTGTTTAAATATGTTCTGTGAGCTAATAAATGGTCTGTTTTAGAGGATGATCCATGTACTGCTGAAAAGAATGTGTATTCTGATGTTGTTGGGTGGAACATCCTGTATATGTCTATCAAATCCATTTGTTCGCAAGTGTGATTCAGTTCTGTTATTTCTTTGCTCATTTTTTGTCTGGTTGATCTGTCCCTGTTGTCAATGGTGTATTAAGGTCTCCTGTTACACCTGTGGTCCTGATAATTTGAGTTTCATTTCTGTTAACAGTTGTTTTGTATAACTGGGTGCTCTGGAGTTTGGTGCATATATATTTAAGATAGTTATCTCTTCCTCTTGGAGTTTTCCCCTAAGGAGTATGTAGTGACCTTCTTTGTCCTTTATGGTCATTGTTGGTTTAAAGTTCACGTTGTCTGCAAACAGAATGGCTACTCCTGCTTTTTTTTTGATTCCTGGGGCATGTAGTATTGTTTTCCATCCTTTGACTTTCAGTCTGTGAGTATCCTTCTGGGTTAGATGGGTTTCCTGTAAATAGCATGTGGTTGGATTTTGTTTCTTGATCCATTCTGCCAGTCTGTTTCTTTTGATTGGTGCATTGAGACCATTTACATTAATGGTTATTACTGTTAAATGCTGGTTTATTGTTGACATGTTATCTCTCTGCTGTTGCATCTTTATCTTTCTGTTCTGTTTAATTATCTGCTTTGCTTAGTGGTGTTTTCCTTTGTGTATCTAGGCTGTCTCTCAATATTTTTTGCAGGGTTGGTTTGGTATTCATGAAGTTCTTCAGCTGTTCTTTGTCATGGAACTATCGTATTTCAACATCAATTTTGAATGATGGTTTTGCAGGATACATCAGTCTAGGTTGGAAATCATTTTGCTTTAGGATGTGGAATATTTCACTCCATGCTCTTCTTGACTTTATTGTTTGTGCTGAGAAGTCTGCTGTGATTCTGATAGGTTTTCCTTTATAAGTGATCTGTCTTTTCTTTCTGACAGCTTTTAATAATCTATTCTTGTGTTGGATTTCTGGGATGGTGATTATTATATGTCTGGGTGTAGTTTTATTTTGGTTATGACTATCTGGAGTTCTATATGCTTCACTGATCCTGATGTCGGTTTCTGATCTCATGCTTGGGAAATTTTCAGCTATTACTTCTCTAAATATCCTCTTGACGTCCTTTATGTTGTCCCCTTCTTTTTCATTAATCCCTATCAATCTTATGTTGTTTTTCTTTGCATCATCTTGCAGTTGTTGAATTGTTGTTTCCTGATTCCTTGTTATTTTTAAAAGATCTTTCCTTTCCTGTTCACTAGCTGTAATCCTGTCTTCAAGATCTGAAATTCTATCTTCAGTTTCATTGAGGCGGTTTTTACAACTTTCAGTGTAGTTTTTTATTTCCTGTATATCTTTGTGCATCTGCATTATGTATTCTGTTTGTTTCTTATATTGTTTGTCTAGGGTTTTTAATTTTTTGTTTAGTTCCTCCAATTTTTTATCTGTGTTTTCTTTAGATATATTCAGAATCTCTTTCATTTCTTTTATCATTTCTTCTTTTACCTGGAAGATTATTTTGAGTTTGAATTTCTTTAAATCTTCCTGGAGTTGCTTGTTAATTTCAGTAGCTATTGTGTCCGATATTTGAGGTGAATGGCATATATTTTCTTCTATATACATCGCTCCTAGGGTTTCTTGAGATGGGCTGGAGGTTTGAGGTTGTAATTTGGACTTTCATTTTGTCATTTTCCTATATTTCTGTGTTTCAAGTGTTATTTGAAAGCTTCCTGAAGGTCTGTTGGAAATCCCCTTCTATGTTCACAGCTCCTGATACTCTGGCACCCTGTTACCCCAAGCCACTGGGCCTGTAGGACCAATGGCCCTCTTCTGCCTGTTTAGATCTCCCTAGTTCCAGATAAGCTGGGCTTCAGGGACACTGTGTGCCCCCCTGCTTGTTGGAAGCTCCACAGTTCTCCAAGCGCAGCTGGGATGGGGAGGCAGATGTAGATGCCTCAAACCCAGTTATCCACTTCACTTCACCCAGAAGCCTGGAGCGTTCTGCAACAGTCTGGGGTTTGGGCAGAGTGCTCTGAGCACTTACCATAGGCCACAGGGCCTCTGGAACCTGCCATGTTTCCCTGCTTGCTGAGATATCCACAGTCCTCCAGACACACGTGGAGGTGGATGTAGGTGCCCCAGATCCGCCCAGCTCCTCCTCTGCACACTGATGGTGAGGTGCAGGAGTCCCAAATAGGCTGGTCTCCGGGGATGGCATGCCCCCGCCTACTTGTTGGAAGCTCCACAGTTCTCCAAGTGCAGCCGGGATGGGGAGGCAGATGTAGATGCCTCAAGCCACTTATCCATTTCACTGTACCCGGGAGCCTGGAGGGTCCCGAACAGTCTGGGCTTTGGGCAGAGTGCGCTGAGCACTTACCACAGGCTGCGGGGCCTCTAAGTTATGTCTTGTTTATACAAGATTTGTACTAACACTTTGACAGTCATCAGAAATGCATCATTTGTAGAAAAGTTATTTAATTGAATTGTATTCACTAGCATTTTAAACCAGTTCTTTTTAACTAAATCCTCACTTCACTGACTGAAATCACATCAATAATAACAGAAAGGAGAGTTGGCAAAATATGTCATCAACATCAACCCCCAGAAAGTCAAGAGTCCACCCTTGGACTGTGTAAATTGGTCCTCATGACTTAAGGGACTTGAGAAAACTTGCAAGTTGCCTGATGGTACTGTGATGCAAATCATCCAACGAAGTGGGTATTACTATAAATCTTTGCCTGTATGACAGATTTATATCTCTTTACCTCCATAAAATTCCCTGTTAATGGCACAACACCTATTAAGCTGAGATATTTCTTGGTGTAGAACATCATGGTATTTTCCTGTACAGTTTACATTATTCTTGGCATTTCACTGCCTGTCTCATGAGATGGCTAAGAAAGAAAATGTAGTAACTTGCACTCATTCTCAAGGGCAAAATGTCATGTCTTACCATAGAATTCATTCACAAAGTAAAAAGCAAATAATGAGAACAATAAAGTTGAAAAATATGGCATAAGAGAAATCTGGAGGCTTAAGGTAAAAAGTTTTGTTTCCTTGAATACTATTTCAACATATTATTAGATTCTCAGTTTTTAAGGCTTTCAAGGGGGAGCAAATAATGTTTGCAAGGCTCAGTTTTATATCTGAATATGTTAAGGAAAGAAAATATGATCTTTGACATAAACCCAGTCCTGGAGTTTGTCCTTTTGCAGGAGAATGTATAGAGACCCTGGGACCTCGAAACATTTGGTCAAAGTACTGTAACATTTTGTGAAAACACAGGCTGAGTGGGCTTTGTGTACGAGAGGCAATTAAAATGTCCAGGCAATCCCTTGTAATATGTCAGCACGTCCAGAGCCTGGGATACTGAAAACTTAATTGTCAGTCACATACAGCAAGAGAGGAAAATAATTTCAACTCTGATTATACATGTTTTCCACTTTCTCTGTTAAGAGAAGCAAGTCAGTAGTTATCAGTTTGTGCTAAATTTTTTGACTCATTGCTGTCAAATTTTAGGCCATATTGTAGTGTAAAATATTCTACAAACTAAAATTAATCATGTTATGTGGGTTTGAAAGAAATTTTAAAAATAGATCATTGAATTCACTGCTGAAGGTACTGACCATATTTCCCTTACTCAGAGTACTGATTATATGGGAGATCTGCTAGATAATGAACCAAGGTCGTATTCTTACCCAATGGTAGCACCAGGACTTGAGAAACAGGCATAGTCTCTGTAGTTCTGACAACCTTCTCTTGAGCCTAGGAGAGGGACAACTGAGTTTTTTTTTTTTTTTTTCTGATGTTATCTTTGTGTAACTGTATCATAGGAAACGCTGTTCCTTAGCCTGTATTCCATTTTACTTCCACCAAAGAAAAGCAGAGAAGATAAAGTGATGAAGTTTTAAGCAAATCTTCAGGAGGAGAAGTTGTACTTTCTTGGTAAGTAGGATATATTGTTGTTTGATCCATTACTTTACTTGCAGCAATGTTCCTTTCATTTTATATTAGCAATAAAAGGCTCTGTTTGCAGCAATGTGGCCATTACATGACACTTTGGATGTATGGTGGTTATTGGTGCTACAAACATTGGAAATAGCCATATAGATCTTGTAGAAGAGCTCTCTTATAATGGCAAGTAATGGTTTCATGTAATAAGAGCTCAGAAAATATTTGTCATTTGATATGCTTGTTTTTCAGGTGTTATTGTGAACAAGTATCTAAGAAGCCAATTGGATCATGAGTGGTCTGAGAAGATTAGTATACTTAAATGCTCAACATGCATCATTTATTTGTAGGTTTTTATGTGAAAGGAATTTCTTCAGACTGTGCTGCAATTTTACTGTTCCTACAGAGCAGAGCAGGAAATGTCCTACAATCTTAACACTTAGCAAGTAATGTGTGCTTTCTTCTGACCACAGGAAAAGTTCAAGATCTTTCAGGTTAGTCCACTGTCTGTGAGTAAGCTTCCAAGCTGGTGGTTAAGTCATACCAACATCACACATATTTTTGGCTGTATGGGGTAGCATATTCCTATCATGTATGTTCCTGAAATTCATATGGTAAAGTCCCAACTCCCAGTGTTCCTGTCTTTGGGGATAAGACCTTATGGAGGTAATTAAGTTTAAATATATTATAAGAGCAGGACATGGTCCATCTGGATTTGTGTCCTCACATGAAGAGATATCAACAAGCTCAGTTTTTTAGTCATGTTAGTAAATGGGGAACCATCTATAAACCAGGAAGAGCACCCCTACCAGATAGGGGGTCATGCCTGGACCTGAAGTCTTCAGAACCATAAGAAATAAATTCCTGTTATTTAAGCCAGACTCTCATTATTATGTTATAATAACTAGAGGTACCTCAATTACCACTTAAAACAAAAATATGATTGATCATCAAACATGTTTTGAAAACTACTGTACAATTAAACATTTAAAAATTGCATTTTCCTCCCTTTTTCCACTCCCCATGATCTCTGTTGTTTTTAATATCTTTACTTCCTAGAATATTAAAAGCTCAAGATATTTATGAGAAATTAAAACATACAGACACATAGATGCAAAACCTATACAAATGCATATATTATAATTTTTCCACAAGCTCACTTCTTTTGTAGACTGACTAAACATAAATCAGGAGTTGAAATGGAGCTTAATTATTGGAGGGTCTATTATGCTATATGAATTGCATTGTTCTGACTCAGAACTGTTCCCTTAATATCCTGGGAGAGAGTGCATTATCACAGAGAACTTCAAAACTACCTATTGCTTCCATGAAATCCCTGGATAGTCAGAAATGTTGAGTTTCTCCAAGAAGAGAAAGCATGTTTTTATAGCAGAGAAACACTAATTTAGGTTGGAAATATGTTGGAAAATGTCATTTAATTTTCAACCCAAACAAAACAAGAGAAAGGGAAATATCACTTAGAATTTAGAGCTTGTAAAATTTTGCAAGTCCTACAGATTTGGCCAAATCTAAAATATTACTTGGCATTTATCCTCTTGAATGAGTATTTTTGGAGTCCAAATTAAAATTGTAGATATACACTGAGAATGTGTTAATTTAGTGCTGTTCTGTTTCTTGTTATAGTTATTGTCCTCTGAGCTAAGCATTTGTTCCAAATATAACCTATTTAAGTTACTATGCCATGAAGATGGCAGATTAAGCTACCTATTTTAAAATCATGGTCACAGGCCCATGGTATGGAACACACACAAGTACAACAGATTTCAGTATTAACACTGTGTTACATATCATCTCCTAATTGAAGAAAAAAATAGTAGGTGCCATGGAAGTTACCATGCAGGAAGCCTAATAAAAAGACTCTTGTTTCTATTCTGTAGATGACATATGAGTTTAAATACTATTTTTGGCTATCTTTTGCCATTATTGTATTTAGATATAATTCTCTATTTTATGCAGCCTGGGCCACTGGATTCTGAGACTATCTTACATTTTACATGTGCTACCAGGATAGTCAAATCACAGCTCAGGAAAGATTAAATATCAACATATACATCAGTGCTTATAGAAATGTTATGAGGATAAAAACTGTTATAACTGAGATAATCTAAGTCTATCTTCTGAGGTCAAAGTTCCACATTCCAAAACTTTTATTGTTTCACTTTGAACTTAAATCGATGGAATAATCTTTCCTTTTTATTTTAAAATGAAAAAGTACAAAAATTATCATAAGAGAATTTCAAAACAACATAATAGGAGTTTAACAACAATTAATGTATTGCATATTGTTATCTTCAAAGTAGTTGCTCAGATTACAAGATATAGGCATGAAAAATGATCAGACACTGAAAGCACAAATCATTTTTTTTGATGAACTGAGATTAGTAATATAAATACCTTGTATATATAGCCATATACAAGAAATCTATCATACATGTAAATTTTTACACATGCAAGTCTGATTTATTTCATTCATGAGTATGGTCTCAAGTTGCACCCACTTACCAGTAAAAGCCTTGAGTTTATCTTTCTTTATAGCTGAGACTCCATTGTATAAAAATACCACATTTTAAAAAATTTATTTCATGGTCTGTGGAATAATCTTAAACCATACTTTTTATCTTCTGTATGTTTGTTAAATTAATGCATATGCGTATATCTGGAGATGTATCTTGCCTTGTCTATATATGTGAGGCCTAGGTTTAATCTCTAGCCCTGGGGATAATAGGACTTGAAAAATGGTTCTTTTTCTTTGGCAGAGGGCCAAGGGTGGGGGACAGCAACAATTAGACTTGTGTTTGTGTCTCAACTTTATAATTTGGTGCTTTTTAAGAAGAGCAAAGAGAATAAAGATATTCTACTTCTAGTCTCTCATGGATGAAAAGAACATCTGATTTTAGAATTCTTTGGAGAGCAATAACTTTGGGATTGAGCAGTTCCTTGCACCCAGTTAAAATCTTTGTTGAATGAATGAGCTGCTATACTTGTAAGAATAACTGGTGCCAGTAGATGTGTAGTGTTGACTAAGTAAGCCAGAAACAGAAGATGTAGCATGCACTAACTAGTTTGCTCTGGCTTCCTTAACAAAACAGCGTAGAATGGTTGTATTGAAAAACAAGAGATTTATTTTCTCCTGATACTGGAGACGAGTCTAAGATCAAGGGCCACTGAAGCTAGTTCCTGCGAGGGGCTTTCTTCTTGGCACCCAGGCAGCCACCCACCATCCCAGTGTGGTCTCACCTCACTTTTCTGCTCTGTGTTCATGGAAGAAAAGTGATCTCTGGTTTGTGTTCCTGTTCTATCAGTGTTTATGGATGAGGACATTACTTTGTGACAAATCCTTAAGGACACTATCTCCAAATACAGATGCATTAAAGGTAAGGCTTCGACTTAGGCATTTTGGGAAAGACACAGTGCAGTCTGTACCCTAGAAGAACATTGAAATTTTAAGGAATGTGAACTGTATCTTTTGAGCAGCTGTTTTCTATTAACCATTTTAAATATAGTCACATCCTTCATCTTGAAGATTCATCAAGGAACCATGAAATCTCTCTCAAACAAAAAGTAGTAGACAGTTTTTAGCATGTTCTTAAATTTGGTTCTAACCTTTCAAATTTGAGTGCATAATGTAAAATCTCTTTCATTCTTTAACAGTATATTCCAAAAAACAAGCCCAAAGCACATATGCCTAAATTTAGTGTTTGGTTCAATTGAATCCATCTCATCATCTGAATTGAAGGAGATGAGTATCTAGAAATTTTATTTTCTGTTTTTTTAGCCTTATTTATCAATCAATTAATAAATTGAAAGAGTTAATAAAAGTTTACTTATATCTGAGTGTCCCAACCAAATTATAAGGCAGTATATAGTGTTTTTTACCTAGCATTAACTAGTCTTTTTAAATTTCTCCATTTAATTTTTAATTGATAAATCTCCCGTAACTGCTTTTAAGTTTTAATTGAGAAAACTTCCATGACTATAACAGAAAAAAACTTAACATAACTGTTAAACTTTTTATTTTAACAGACATTCTGGACACTTAATTATATTATAATTTTAAAACATACATAGTTGGTTAAAAATAAATACATTTTGAACAATACAGATTACTTTTGATTAGTGTGTATAAAACTAATGTAATGACAAAGTTCAGTTAAGGAGCAATCATTTGCTTTTAAATTTCAAATTTTATTCAGATATTTTTGATTATTTCATGTCCACTTCATTTGGTAGTAACATTATTACCCTTAAAACTGATTGATAGTGGACATAGCCAGATATTTATCTACTTTTTATGTGCCAGTAGCTTTGAACGTGGGGAATTCTCTCTCTAAAAGAACTATATTGATTTTTCACAACTAATTGCTGTATCTTTTAATATTGAAGAATATATTATTTTTTACAGTGTTTTCAAAGTGCTCCCTAAGAGAAAAAGAGAGTACATTTGCAATTTATATTGCTCTGCACAACCAAAATTTTCATTCAAGAGTTTATAATATTTCAAACATCTATGCAGACTGACAGAATTTGCCTTGCAATTTTAGAATGTGATAGACCTAATGAACTAAACTGTCAAATAATAAGAATATTTCTTCCTCATTTTTGATACTGCTTATTTGGTTTTCACTAAAACCTGTATCTCAGTTTTATATTGAAATTATGTGTGGGTGATTCTAAACTATTGAGGCTCTGGCTCTAGTCCAGACCAATTAAATACGAATTTTTGAAATGGCATCTAGACTGCAGAACTTTTTAAAATTTATAGTTGATTATAATATGTGAGCAGGACTGAAAATTATTGGTCTCTATGTCTTACAGGAACATGAAAGTAAATTCTATTTTTCTGTACCTCGCATAGTGGATCTGACCCCCCCTCCTATATTACCTGAGGATGTGTGAGCTTCCTGAGTATAGAATACTAATTATTATTTTGTTTAATAATTCTAGGAGCCCTAACACTTAAGCATCTGAAGTCCTAAAACATGAAGGATAATACAAGACAAGAACTGCTCTGGATTTCCTCTATAATCAAGCCAGAAGAATGCATTGGAGACTTGGCCGCTCAAGATGAGTGATTTTAAACTCATGCTACTGTTGCTTTATTTCACAGGCAGCAGTGCTTTCCAATACTACATATCATGGTTTGTATTTTTTGCTGTATGATAGTGGTTTGGGGTTCATATATTTTTTAAAAAATGCAACTTTCCTTATTTAACATTTGCAATATATTTTTGTTGAGTTATAGACTTTTAAAATGCTACTGTAAATATTACTCAGTCATGGAAAGTTGAACATTTTGGAATTGTTTCATTTTTTAAAGTATTGAACATTATGAAATGTCGAAAAAGATACAGATCATTGAAGAGAGTTTTTCTTGCTGAAAGTTTTTTTGTGGAATATTGGTTTTTGTGGTGATGGTAAAATGAGAAGGCATTTATCGAATATTAAATTAATTTTTAGAGATCTATTTGAGCCTATAATGTGGCAGACAGTATGTTAGATACGTTGAGTGGGGCGTCATACTGAAGGGGATGATAAGGAAATATGCATATGTTAATTTTCATATGGAAAATATTTGCATGATTCTTAAAGTAGAAATCAGGCCCTACCTAATGATATTTTCTTATGAGATGGTGAAAAAACAAAATCCTAAGATTCTAATGGCCAGTGTAGTTTCTACCTTTTCTGTAGTACCTAGGTCCCTTGGGGACAATTCAATCAAGTCTGTGACGAAAGGAGAGTTTTGGCAATTACTTAGTCTTTGTTGTTCTGTTGTTTGTTTTTTATACTCTATTTTCAATCTTCTAGTTACTTCTAGTTTTCAATTGCTGTTAAGTACTATATTTTACTTTGTTTTTCCTGGATCATGGCATTATTTCCCTTAACATTTAGTTTCCATATTTTGGGATGATTCAGTCCTCTTTCTCAGGTGCTCACTACTAACTAGAACTTCATATGTTATAACCGTTTTTGGAATAATTGTGAATTGCCTTTTTTCTTTATTGACTATGCTTCTCATGACCACAAAACTCTTTGTTAATCTATCTTTAGAAGGATTTTGAAGATATTCTGTAGTTGAACTTGGGAAGCAGGTCTGGCCTGCCCAACATTTGCCATAAATGTCTGTTTACATATTGAAAACTAATAATAGAAATTTATTTATTATTTTATTTTATGTTTCTTAAATAAAATTATTCACTAAGGTAGAAGTTCTCAAATGAGAGAAATTTTGTTCTCCTGGAGATATTAAACAATGGCTAGAGCCATTTTTTTGATTGTCACCTCTAGAAAATGCTATTGGCACCTAATAAGTAGTGGTTAGTGATATTATTAAACATCCTGCAATGTACAGGGCAACTCCCATAATAAAGAATTATCCAGTCCCAAATATCAGTAGTGTTATAACTGCAAAAACCCAGTCTTAAAGTAATTCCAAAAAATAAGGCCAATATATTGTTGAATTTTTAATATATGCTTGAAAGACATGGTCTTATAATTTTATCTAGGGAAAAATAATTTAAAAGCATTTATGCTTTCAGTCTTCTTTCCTTTACCCATTAATGAATTCCTTCTTGCACTCTAAATTGAGTAGACTGAGTGATATTCCCTGTAAATGTTCAACTTCCTATAACCATGAGTGCTTTTCTTAAATACAAGCTTTCTTCCCAGCAAGTTATGCCAGGTCCCATTACTAAGAAAACAAATATCTCATAGATAAAATATGTTCTCATTTGTAGATAAATAACACATTTAAAGGATGCCACAAAAATTTTCCTAATGTTTTTTTCTGTCCAAATCAAAATTACATTTATATGTTTACCACATTGTTTTACCACTAATACTTAGAATTGATTTTCTAGATTTTTACGAGGATGTTGGTGAATGTGAATATGCATATTCTCTAAGCTGCTAAAGAGAAATCTATACTAACTCTATATGTATGTCTCTTTGTGTTTGTGTATACTTTCTGCCCATATCACTTCTTGATTTTACTAGGGACTAATATAACACTTTTTCAGGAATATTGTGACATTGTGAGAGATAAAACATCTATGCTTCTATAGGGAAAACATCTTATTTTTGAATATATTTGAATGTGTGATTTGCTATATATTTTTAAATTCTATTTGTGAAATTGACAAAGAACATTGAAATCACTTCTTTTACATGCCTTCTCTGACTCTTGAGTGTGTGTGGGGGCTGCTCCTATAGTATCCAGGTACACCCTCATTAATCTACTGTTAGGTTGTTTCAGAATGTTTGTGTGCTGTCATCCACAAGGGACTGTACATTTTTTTTTTTGTACTGTAGGTCTGTCACATTGCCTGGCATGCAAAATGTAAGTGCTTTGCTGACTTATAATACAGTGTGATAATTTCTATGGTAGAAGTAATCTCTGTGTTAATAGCAAACTCCACTTGTTTGATGTTTTTTTTCTAGTGTCAGTCTGGTTTCAGATCTACATAAGCATTCTATCACGTGACTTAAGTTGTACATTGTCTTCATCTGTGTGTAGTCTCTCCTTCTGCATTCCTAAAAGAATCCTAATTTGCTCAGATAGCTACTGTCTGTTTACTACAGCTTATCTGACTGGTGAAATGGCCACATTTGAAGCTACAGAGAGCCTGGGTGATGTAATAGGGTAAAGTTGGGAAATTCACTCTCCTTTCTAAAGAATGGTTCAGGAATCCACAATTAACCCTTGCACAGTTGGGACCTTTGCTGGCCTAATTAGTAATTCAGGGGATTCAGGCTAATCAAGTTGGATGAGAAATTGGAAGAAATATCTGCCCTTGTCAGGAAACTAGTTTCTTTTCTTATCTTCTTCACTATGGGAATCAGCAAGCAGCTGCCACAGTTGGTGCAGGCAGTGGTCTTGGTGGTGCAGAGAAAGCTTTTCTAATCATAGAGGTGACACAGGGGAAAGGTGAGAAAAGGCAGAAAAACAGCTGGAGCTTTGATTATCCCATACATGAAACCTCTTCTGTCTTTTGATTTAGACTATGGTGAGCAAATGTCTTTCTATATTTTTTAAGCCTGTTGGAGCACTGTTTTCTATTTCTTACAGCCTATGTAACAACATGTTCAAAATTCCCAGGCCCTTTTCTAAAATCATTCACGTCTGTTGGCTTTTAAATATTTCAGGCTATAATCACCCACCACACATTTAGCTATTCTCTCTTCTCTCTCTTGCTGTACTTCAAAATGTCTGTTCCTATCTATTTTCCTTTTAGGCTTGCTGACTTGTCTTCTGGTTTTCAGCTTTCCCAAAGTACTGTATCAAGACTCCTTTAAAACAAATGCATTCTGTGTTTGAGAGAAATTCCAGTACCAGTTGTTAAGGCATTCAATTTTGCTCATTTTCCTCAATCTTTCCATTCATTGCTGAAGGTGCCACACAGTCCAGAAGTCTGTTTTCAAATGTTAATGTCATCACTTAGTGACTTGGGTGAGTTATTTAGTTTTGTTAATTGCATTGTTTGGGACAGAGGTAGACAAACAATGACCCACAGACAAAATCCAGCTCTCTGTTTACTTTTCCATTTATTTTTATTGAATATACCCACATATACTTGATTATTATTATATATACAGTTTTTGCAGCATGATAGATATGGAAGAGTTGTGGAAGGAACTGTAAAACTGCAAAGCTGAAAATAGTATGTGATCATTTGATGTTTAACCAAGAATATTTGATAGCTGCTGTTCTAATAAAAGGCTTGTTGAAAGGATGACAAGGTTGTTCTGAGGCTTAAATGAGATAATACACATAGCTAATCATCAGGGAATATGTCACATATAAACCTGTAATAGACATTTTTGGCCATTATTGTTGTTGCTGATAATAGTAATGCTCAAGCAAAGGTCAGTGTAGCTCACAAGTGTCTTGAACCAATAATCTCACCCTTTTTTGCCATAGAAGAAATGACTGCCTTGAGTATGTATGATGTAGTCTCACTTAACAATATTCATTAGCAGGGTGAAGAAAGCAGTGTTTATTTCTGGAGTCAGTCCCCCCGCTGAGGTATAAATACAATTATAAGGTTGCATATATTTATCCCACTACCATGAAGTTGTGATACTTTAAATCTTATTTTTCATCCAGAGGAAATGTTATTTTAAAAATCATAATTCATTGCTACCATTAGTTCAATAATAACAATTGTGTATGGCACCACATTAAAGGAGAGTCTATCACGAGTGTTTGGCCAGACAGTGGAACAATTAATAGAATTCCCATTTCCCCTAAAAGGTGTATTTGTCATGTCAAAGTTACTTTGGTCTGGTGCAACACAGATGGTGCCGTGACAGCACAAAATGATGAGTGCCACGTTGTTTCTTCTAATGATCTGCTTCTGCTCTATTCATCTTGCTTTGCAGCCTTGGATCTCTGCTACATGCCTGTTTTGAAAATAGAGGGCATCTACCAGAGAGGTCACAGGAGATTCTGCATCTTTTGTTATTTTTGTGATTGTTATGTAGGTCTAGAAAGTACTAAAACATAATATAAGTGAGAATATTAAAAAAACCACTTTTATTAGAGAAATAAAAGAAATATTTTCCCAAAATAATGACAAATATCATATTTTATGTAGAATTAATTTTACTAAACCAGTATGAGTATCCCTATGACATGATTCTCAGTATAATAATAAAGGATAAGTATTATCCAGAGTACAATTAAATTGTGATGCTGTTTATTAACTCACTCTTGAGTGGATGTAAAACCAGATTAGAAGATTCGATGAAAAAATTAGTAAAAATAGTGTAAATGTCATCATCCTACACTTAAAACTTGATAGCTTACCTAGAATTGAACTGTACCAAGATTGTGCCATTGTAACTTATTTAGACAATGATAGTTACTTTTCAAGTGCTTTGCACAGAGGTGGCACTAAAACAGAGGAATGCTGTATCTGGCAACTCTTGAAATGACAAATTGCTAACTACAAATTGTAATAAAAATAATTTGAAGAACTCTGCCCCTGAAATGAACTGTACTATGTACTTCAAATTATTTTTATTACAATTTATAGTTAGCAATTCATTATTTACACAGTTGCCAGACTCAGCATTGCTCTGTTTTGGTGCCATCTTTGTGCAAATGACTTGAAAAGTAACCGTCATTGTCTAAAGAAGTTACAATGACACAATCTTACTGAAGTTTTATTCTAGGTAAGCTATCGAGTTTTAAATTTAGGATGACATAACATGTATGGGCATTTACTAAGTTATCATTCTATCTTGATTTGGATGCCCCATTTCATTAGAAATACAACTTTTCCAAAGCTTCAAGTCATCTATTATCTTTCCTTCAAATAACTAAATTTGAAAGTAAGGAAAACATCAGAAGAAAATGTTTATACGGATTCACATGTCCATTTGCAAGATATATGTGTTTCTATTAATGCAAGAAACTTGCTTAGAAACAAAAATCAGTATGCACAACATAAACTTATAGAAAACTCTGACATGGCAGAAATATGTTTCTGTTCTTGCTTTTAAGAGCTGCTCTTTGCCATTGGGCATTCAGAATGTAGAATACTCACATAGGGCATTTGTTTAAAATGTTTCCTACTAAGCTCACATTGGAATTCTTTTGGGCTTTTGGGCCTTATTTTGAGAAACACTTTCCTCATGTTGTTCTTTTGATGTCCACTTAAATATTAAAATGTATATTTATGGTATAATATTTTAAGATGGTGACATGAATTCTATATATTTTAGGTGTTATCTGACTATATAAAAAAGTTTAACTAAGGAGACAGAGCTAAAATATATGTGGTTTCTGCAGATTTGCTCAAAATATGTACTATATTTTGGATTTCCCTGAAGACTACAAAATCAGGGGCCCAAAAATATAGGTAATATAATTTGGAGAGAAACAAGCATGATGTGACACTGTACTTAAATGAGAGATTATTTTCCAGTATAGTAAATAACTTGAAAAATCAGGAATACGTCTCCAAGCAAAAAATGGAATGTGTTTACAAATTTTGTAAACAGCCTCATCGTTATTTAAGTCATATTATAAAAGGTAACTTATCAACCAAAAAGTTCAATATTCTCTAGCATGCATTGTAAAAATCAAGTAAGACATCTAAATATACAAAAAAGAAATTAAAATTAACTTCCAGACAATTGTGAAATTGTTGGTTGAATGCAAGCTGGTAGTAAGTTTGTCATGCATTAAATAGAAACATAAACAAAATTCTTAATTGGAAGATGAGGATCAGACTCAATCCTCATGCATAAAAAGTGGATTGATGTACTCAAAGCCAGAAGATTCCTTTTCATCTATCTTCTTCAGAAAGTCACTCTCATCAGGCGTAAGCTGGACAGTTTCTTCAGTAAAATCAGTATTAAAATTTTCCAAACCAAATTCTGTACCAATACTTGGTTTAAAGGGAGGTGCCACCTGCCTTTTCTCCATCGTGCTCCAGTCCACAGTTTTAAAGAACGGATGCTCCTGAATATCGATGAATCCTCTCTGAGGGTGCAAGCCCTATCTTACCTCTGGCTCCTTCTTCAGAAAACCCTTGAGTATGCTTCCAGCTTCCTCAGACAGGTCATGTGGAATGCGGACTTCTCTTTCTAAAATAGATTGCAAGAAATTCTTTATGTTTAGGTCAGAGTTCTCGGGGCTGTCCATAAAATGAAACGGAGGCTCCCCCACCATCATTTCAAACATTACAATTCCAAGAGTCCACCAGTCCACACTGAAACCATAGTTTTCTCCTCTCTTGATTTCTGGAGCAAGAAAACTGAGAGTGCCACAGAAAGTGTTGGTCTTACTGCCTGTCTTCAGTCCTGCCTTACATGAGTCATAATCCGTAAGTTTAATGTGTCCTTCCGAATCTAGTAATACATCATCTAACTTCAGATCCCTGTATACTATCCCATGCTCATGAAGAAACTGGAGATCTCCCAGATGTAGAACCTCGCGTGTTCTTCTGGGAGGATTCCGTGCTGTTGCATATGGTAAGTCAGGCATCCTCCATTTATGTAGTCTAGGATGAAGACTACTCTTGTTTGATTCTGAAAGCACGAATGCTGGCCAGCCAGAAAAGGGTGATTCAATGTATTCTACAATATGTTCTTCTCTGCCCCTAGACGAACAAGGTTGTCACGCTCTTTTTTTTTTTTACCACTTTTATGGCGTACACGCGATCTGTTTTTTTACGTCGAAATAGTAGTATTTTAGCATAGCTTCCTCTCCCTAGTACTCGAATAAAATCAAAGTCCTGAAGACCTAAGGAGCACAAAGATCTGCCATTTTCCGTGCTATTATTTGTCTCACTCTCTTCATCCATTTCTTGCATACCCACATAACTTTTAGGATTTGATGAGACTACTACCTGTTTGGGATCTAAAGCCATGGAAGCTTGGTTTTTTGGCATTATGCATTCACTATGTAAAGGTGGCTGCTTGTATTGAACTGTGATGAGTTCATGGCACTTTTTATGTACCAAAAATTTACAGTTCACACATTTGTATGCCTTGCGTCCAAATCCCCCCATCGGGTCTGAGCAGATGGCACAATTAGCACGCTTGTTGAATCGTTTAGATCGAAAAGTGTGACCATTAGCGCAATGAACCTTTCTCCAGCGGCCTGAAACTCTGTGGTAGATGGATTTATCTTCTGAAGAAGGTACGTTAGGATGTTCCAGTATGCAACACTCCTGAGGAGGTTCTGGTACACAAGGCATTTGAAGAGGTTTTGACACCCAAGGAGGTGTCAAAGGTTCTGGTACACTCAGCACTTTAGGATGTTGTAATGTGCAAGGCACCTTAGGAGACTCTGGTACATATGACACTTTGGAATGTTCTGTTAAACAAGGCACCTTAGAAGTTTCTTGTATGTAAGGCACCCGAGGATGTTCTGATATGCAAAGATGTTGTGTTGCAGCAAGAGCTTCAGTATGTTCTGGTACACAAGGCACCTGCGGAGGTTCAGTTACACAAGACTGCTTAAGAGGTTCCGGTATGCAAGGTACTTTAGGAGGTTTTATTTCAGAAAGCAATTTAGTATGTTGTACATGAGGCACCTTAGGAGGTTCTGGTATGCAAGGTACTGTAGGTTTTGTTACAGAAAGCGCTTTAGTATGTTGTGGTACAGAAGGCACATTAGGAGGTTCTGGTACACTCAGCATTTTAGGATGTTCTGGTGTGCAAGGCACTTTAGGTGATTCTGGCACACAAGGCACCTTAGGAGCTTCTGGTATGCAAGGTATGTTAGGAGGTTTTGTTACAGAAAGTGCTTCAGTATGTGGTACACAAGGCTCCTTTGGAGTGTCTGGTTTATGCAGCATTTTAGGATGTTCTGGTGTGCAAGTGACCTGAGAGTTTCTGTTGCACAAGGCAACTTAGGAGGTTCCATTATGTAACACACATTAGGATGTTCTGGTATACAGATCACCTTAGGATGTTCTGTTATGCAAGGCACTTTAAGTGATTCTGGTACACAAGTCACCTGAGGATGTTCTGATAAGCAAGGTACTTTAGGAGTTTCTGTTACGGGAAATGCTTCAGTATATTCTGGTACACAAGGGATCTTAAGAGGTTCTTGTACCCATGGCCCTTTGGTATTTTCTGTTGTACAAGGCACCTTGTGAGGCCCTGGTACATAAGGCACTTCAGGAGGTTCTGGTTCTGGTATGCTAGGTACTTTAAGATGTTCTGGTACGCAAATCACCTTTGCATCTTGTGGTAAGTAAGGCACTTCAGCATGTTCTGATACCTAAGGCACCTTAGTTTATTTTGGTACACAAGATGATATACGTATTAGCAGCTCAGGATCTGTATTATGCTTGGAAAGCACAAACTCATATTTCCAACAGAGGTAATGGGTCTCTTTTTTCATCTACACATATTGTGGTGAGATGTTTATTATCAAATGAGCAGGTGTCTAGAATTTCACTGCTCTCAAAAGAAAAAGAATTCTCAAGACAAGTCTTCTCATCCCTTCCTATAACTTGGGCCTGTTTGGAGGAGGTGTGGGTGATGGAGGTACTTGGGAAGAAGAGGCCATAGTAGGGTTGGCCATGTAAGAAAACTGGCACGAAGGGCTTGTTGGGTGACGGTGGCCTTACTGCCTTTATTGACCACACAAGGTGAGGTTTGGCACCACTCCCTGCCAAGTAATTCTCAGTATGCCTTGGCCCAGCTGATCATTTTGTAGGTTTCTTAAGTGTCTCTCGGGTGCTGGACACTGTGACATTGGTCTCTACCTCTAGATACCTTTGTCTATCTAACTTTACTGATGCTGGCTCTGGGGAGATGTGCCCAGAGCTGTTGAGTATCTCAGGGCCTGGTGAACCTTGCCCATGGATTTTTTGAGTTTCAGTTTAATTTGTATCTGAGCTGAGGGAGTTTTCAGGTGGGTACCTTTCTGTTGGTAGGTCACAGGTGGTTGGTCTTGGGGAGACTGTTGCTGGGGTGGCTGTGACAGTTGGGTGTCTTTCAAAATGTGGCCTGTGGCATCTGGATGGTGTCAAATGTCTTCTCAATCTTTTACATATACTTCCTCTGCCTGGGGTTCTAGGTTTGTGGCCTGGGGATGTGGAGAAGCAACTCAGCATCCTCAGGGCTGAGTGGCTCCAGGCAAATGAGCTGGGAAGGTGGCTTATACTGAATTGTGATGTCTTATACTGTTTGGTCAGGTTGCCAGCAAGTGAGGTCCAATAACTTGGGGTCCAATAACTGATAAGAAAGCCGGTGGCTCAACTTTTTCTTCATACTAACTAAGTCAGTGGCTAGTTATTTTATTATTTCTATCTAAGTATCTGTGAATCTATTTATCAACCTCTGCATATGAGTTTTTTACTTTTGCATTTTTCATATTTTTACTTTGCATCTACACAATGAACTACAGATATATCCTCAGATATTCTTTTTAGATATATACTAAGTGTCTCCCTAAGTCACAAAATTGGTCAGGTTGGAGTCTACCTTGTGATCTCCTTATCTCAGTTGCCCAGAGTGCTGGGATAATAGTCATATACCATCTGTTGCATTCAGTGTGCTATATACATAGAAACAGCAAATTTGGGAAAACTGCTGGCCCACTCAGTCATTGGTGACATCTTCACTTTTAAAGCAAGGTGTGTTCATTGATACTTCTCACAGTGCTTGGAGGTCTTTTCCCTGTAAAGAAAGCCTTTTTTTTCTGAAATATAGTGCTGGGATTTGAACCTAGAGAGCCATTAAATTTTAGGATGCTTTTCTTTCATATCATCATTTCTATTTCATTAGTATTGAGACTTTCTTGAAATTTCCACAACAATTTTCCTTAAGAGATCAAAATGTTAGTTTCAATGTATAGCACCTAGGGGTGGTGGTAGTGGCTCCATAGCAGGTTGTAGCTTTCAGGTGCACACATGTGATTAATTATTCAATTTTAGCTAATAAACTTAATACCAAAGTGTAGTGTTCAGTATAGTCACATACTGTATTTACCCCAAAATAATGCATAACTAGAATGATCAAAATGGAACCACTCTCAGTTCATCATCATCATGGTGATGACCAGGGTCATGAAGAAGATTATACATCGATATTCTCTTGCTCCATGGCTACTCTGTAATGGCATGTAAACGAGGACAAGTTGTTGGGGTAGCCAATTATTTTCTGATTAGTTCTTATTTTCTGGAAAACAAAAGAGTGGGGCAGGACAGCACATGGTGGTGACATGGCAATCAGTCTTTGTAACCACTCCAGTGGTGACAATGAGCATGTTCAACAGCATTTCAAACTTTCATTTTGGCCACTTGGAATCACTTCCTGTCTTCCTATCCTAATCAGGCCATGTACTATCTGTCCCAAATGGGTAGTCTGCATTTTCTAGATGTGAGGAAGCTATAGCCATTCAGGATGTAGTGTTTTTGTGTTTTAACGAGCTTATTCACTCAGTACAACTGCACTGATGGAAGAGAACAGACACAGAATCTCTTCACTCTCCCAACACGAGTAGACCATGCAGGAGAAACAGCACTTCCCAACATGGAGTCGCTCTTCGTGGAGCAGTGGTGAACTGGCTCAAAAGGTCACACAAGGGCAGTGAGACCGCGAGCTTTAATGTTAATGACACATCTCAGTTGAAAGCACAGAGCCTATACACTGTGAGATTTTAACAACAGTGTGTTAGTAAATGTTTAATAAGCAACATATATGTGCATGTGTGTATATGTATTACATGTACACACATGTGTATTACAAATTGGGCTGTTGTAAAGGGCATGTAACACATAACTTATAAAGAATAACATAGCGCTCTTTCCAATGAATTCTCAGAATGTTTTTTATACTTATATCTATAATTGATCTATGTTTGCAACTGACAAATTCATATAGTTCCAACACAAACACGGTGATAATTTTCCCTTGGTTAAACAGAGAAAAGTGCAAATATCTGAAGACTTACGTCAGTATGTTACTTGTTCCTCAGTGATACGAGTGACTTTTTGCTGAATGTAATAATGATGGTTTGTGGTAGGAGAAGAACTTTTTCATGTTGTATGCAACTTACAACATGATAGGTGTAGATATGGCATATTTTTAAATTGAGCACATTTTAAGCATTATTTTTCATTTTCTTAACATTGTGGTCAGTCAGTGAAATTGTAAGTCAAGTGCTGGTGTGCAGCATGTGGTTTTTATTGTGTAAAACTTCTACCAGACCTGGCAGTACAGCTCATTAGCACAGCACTTGCCTCACATATGTGAGCCTCTGATTTCCATCCTCAGTACCCATAAGCAAACAAACACACAACCTCTTACCATGGACTTTTTAACTATCACTATAAAATGATCAAATGTGAAATGGGAAGAGATGACCAGTAGCACACTTTATGGCATTTATACCTTAGGGGAATGAAATAGATAAGAATGGTCTTGAGAACATAGATAATAATAAAAATACAAGCTGGGCATGGCGGTGCACACCTGAAATCCCAGCACTCTGAGAGGGTGAGGCCAGAGAATTTTAAGTTCAAGTTCAGCTTTCATAACTTAGTAACATGATTCCTCAAAATTAAAAAAAAAATAAGAAAAGGCTAGGGATGTATGAAGAATAGTTCCAGTGGAGGAGGTGGGATAAAAGTCTCTGCACGTCTCTAGTCACCAGCCATTTGAGTCACCCCAGACATTCAGTCTTCACAAGCATCCCTACCTTGTCCTAATTTAACTTTGACCACATAATCTCTGAGTGTGATAGAATGAGTGTTTTTACTATACTTAGGAATATTTTGTCACCAGCAATGGAATGGGCCTCGTAGAAACAAGGACTACATTGTGGCAGGTCCTGGGAAGTCCAGCAAAGAGTGAATCCCTCAAAGACCATAGTTTGTGGATGCTTTTAAGACTTTGACCCCATTTATAATAGTTATAACATTTTCATTTATTCAACAACTAGCAAGTGCAGTATGCAGGGAGTGCTAGTGTGTGACAGGCACTGTCCAGTGCTGGATAAAAATTTTGTCCTTGACTGTTTATCCTACAGTGCAGAAAACAGACAATCTGTAAGACAAATCAACCTTGTTGGATCAGGCCTGAGGAGGAGAAGAAAAGAGCCCTCAAAGAGGAAATGCAGTTTCAGAGGTGAGGCTGGACCTTCAGAAATGATGGCCAGGAAAGTCCTCCTGAAGGGGGGTGACTTTAATAAAGCCCTGTTTTGGAAAGGCCCAGGCTGGCTCCCACCAGGACCCACCTGGCTTTCCCCTCCTCAGCACCCGCACTTGACAGCTCCTCAGGTCCAGTCACCTAGAGAGGGCTCAGGGCAGCATTAGGGTCCAGGTTGTTTTTCTCAGAAACATTGTGCAGCAGCCTGTTGAATGGGAACCACCTCACTAAAGGGCAATGTGGCAACAGGGTGGAAAGCCAAAAAGAGGATCACACCTTTCAACCCAGTAATGCTTTTCTTCTTCTGGAAGGAAATGATGCAACAGAAAATAAGCCATTTCAACAAAAATATGATAATTATAGCGGTGTTCCTCATAATAGTTAAATAAAAACTGCAATTTTCATTGTTAAACAATGAGTTATAATAATGCCTTTTAGCAACTATTATGTGACAAGCCCTAAGCCAAAGACTTTATTGGATTCTCTCACTTCTCCTTCACAAAAACTGTGTGAACTAACACTGTATTATCCCCATTTCTTTATTTAAAAAAAAAAAAAAAGCTTGTTCAAGGTTATACCTGAGAAGGTAACAAGTGATCACCATTATATCACTTTTGTTTAGTTTCAGTCATCTGATTTTGGTTAAATTCCTTTTACCTTCTCTATGCATCATATCATCAAAAATAAAATGAGA